GCCATGTCGCCCCAGGAGCTGCTGGCCCTGCCCCTGCATTGAGCTCTCCCCCTGACTCCTCCCCTCTTTCCTCCCCAGACGTTTGGGGAGAAGCTGCTGGGTGTCATGGCCTGGATCATGCCCATCTCCGTGGCCCTGTCCACCTTTGGGGGTGTGAATGGCTCCCTCTTCACCTCCTCCCGGTGAGTGACCCCGCCCCCCCACAGGCCCTGCCCCTGGCGGGGGAGGGGATGGAGTCTCCTCCCTCGTCTCCCCGCAGCCTGGCGTTCACCCTGAACCCTACTGATGGCACCGAGAGCTCCCCCATGCTTACGTCTCCCCTCCCCCACAGGCTGTTCTTCGCGGGAGCCCGTGAGGGCCACCTCCCCAGCCTGCTGGCCATGATCCACGTACAGCGCTGCACCCCTATCCCCGCCCTGCTCTTCACCGTGAGTCACTGGGGCGGGGGGGAGCTTGGGGAGTGGGGGAGGAGTCTCTGGATCAGGGGCGTGGCTTGCGGAGTGGGTGCCGGGTCTCTAGTCCCAGGGGTGGGGCTTGCGGCATGGTGGTGGGTGGGGTCTCTGGGATGGGGCGGGGTCCAGCATGGCCCCGCCCCATAGCCCCCCTCCCTACAGTGCCTGTCCACGCTGCTGATGCTGGTGACGAGCGACATTTACACCCTGATCAACTACGTGGGGTTCATCAACTACCTGTTCTATGGGGTGACCGTGGCCGGGCAGATCGTGCTGCGCTGGCGCCAGCCCCACATGGCCCGGCCCATCAAGGTGAGCCCGCCTCCTGCCGGCCCCCTACCGCCGTTCCCCACCCCCAGCCCCACATAGCCCGGCCCATCAAGGTGAGCCCGCCTCCTGGCCCGCCCCCTGCCCCCAGCCCCCATTCCTCGCCCCCTGCCCCACATGGCCCGGCCCATCAAGGTGAGCCCACCCCCTACCCCCATTCCCCACCCCCAAACCCACATGGCCTGGCCCATCAAGGTGAGCCCGCCCCCTACCGCTGTTCTCCACCCCGAGCCCAACATGGCCCGGCCCATCAGCCCACCTCCTGCCCCGCCCCCTGCCCCCATTCCCCGCCCCAGCCCCACATGGCCCGGCCACTCAAGCTGAGCCCGCCCCCTGCCCCGCCCCCTGCCCCCGTTCCCCGCCCCAGCCCCACATGGCCCAGCCCATCAAGGTGAAGCCGCCCCCTGCCCTGTGTGCCCTGCCCCCAGCACCCATGGCCCGCCCCCTGCACTCCGCCCTACCTTGCATGGCCCGCCCCATCAAGGTGAGCCCCACCCCCTGCCCCATGTGCCCCCCCCACCTTGTGTGCCCCAACCCACCAAAGTGAGCCCTGCCCTGCATATCCTGCCCACTGCCCTGCCCCCAGCCCCTGCATGCCCCGCCCCCGGCTGAGCCCCCTGTCCCCCCAGGTCAGCCTGTTCTTCCCCGTGCTCTACCTGCTCTTCTGGGCCTTCCTGCTGCTCTTCAGCCTGTGGTCAGAGCCGGTGGTGTGCGGCGTGGGGCTGGCCATCATGCTGACCGGGGTGCCTGTCTATGGGCTGGGCGTGGCCTGGCACCACAAGCCACCCGCCGTCTACACCTGCCTGGGTGAGTGGGGTGGGGCAGCCGGCCGGGCGATGGCGGGGGAAGGGGAGCAGCCGGGCGAGGGCCGGGGGGGGCAGCCAGGCGGGGGGGGAAGGGGAGCAGCTGGGCGGGGGCAGAGGGTGCAGCCGGGCGGGGGCAGAGGGTGCAGCCGGGCGGGGGAAGGGGCGCAGCCAGGCGGGGGAAGGGGCGCAGAGGGGCGGGGGAAGGGGTGCAGAGGGGCGGGAGCAGAGGGTGCAGCCGGGCGGGGAAAGGGGCACAGAGGGGTGGGGGAAGGGGAGCAGCTGGCCAGGGGTTGGAGGAAGGGCCCGGGCCTCCCGGCTCTCTGACCCCCTGTCTCCCCACAGCGGCGGTGACGCGGGTGACCCAGAAGCTCTGTGGGGTGGTGTACCCCGAGATGGAGCCCCCCGACCCTGAGCACACCGAGCAGCTGGAGCCCATGTGCAACACCGGGGACCCCGACAAGCCCCACGACTGAGCCTCCCACCCTGCCATGGACTGCACCCCACGGTGCCCACGGCGCCCGCCCCACTCCCCACATCCCGCTCCCAACGGCACCCTACAGCCCCCACCCCGCTCCCCATGGTGCCCACCCCCGCCAATAGCCCCCGCTCCCCATGGCTCCCTACAGCCCCCACTCCACTCCCCACGGCCCCAACCTCACTCCCCACACTCCACTCCCCACAGCCTCTGCCCCACTCCCCATGGTGCCCACCCCCCCTACAGCCCCCACCCCGCTCCCTGCTCTCCACACCCCACTCCCCACGGCGCCCCCTGCTGGCAGAGGTGGGAGCTCCGTCACTCGCAGATGCCTTAACCCCGTTCTCTGGCCCCCAACGTTTGGGCTCCGACTTTGTGGCCTTTTCCACCGTTTGTCTCTGGTTTTCGATGTAATAAATACAGTGACCTCAGCGCCGCAGAGCCTGGCTGGGGGGCTGGGGACAGTGAGGGCTGGGACCCCCCCC